CAGTAACAGCACTCCATACGGTTGTTACAAAACTAGAAAGATCTTTTGAAGCAAAGAAAATTTCACTTGCTGCATTCCTTGACATTGAAGGTGCATTCGATAATTCATATCACGATTCAATGACTACAGCTATGATGAAAAATGGTTTCGATCAAAGCATTGTAAATTGGATCAATGAAATGTTATCAAAAAGAAAAATATCAGCAAACCTTGGAAGCTCACTCATCAGTGTAAGAGCAACCAAAGGATGCCCGCAAGGAGGCGTGTTATTACATCTATTGTGGTCTTTAATAGTTGATGATCTTCTCAAAAATTTAATAGCCCATGGCTTCGAAATAATTGGCTTCGCAGATGATATAGTCATAATTGTACGTGGCAAATATGATTGTATTATCGCTAACAGAATGCAAATTGCTTTAAATTTTGTCTCATCGTGGTGTGATACTACTATCGTGCCATTTACCCGAAGGAAGAAATTTTCATTAGACAACATAAGATTGAAAGGCACACTTTTGGAACTTTCTAATGCAGTCAAATATCTTGGAGTAATCCTCGATAGTAAACTTAATTGGAATATGCACCTAGAGCAGGCAATAAACAAAGCTACTAATGCTCTATGGATATGCAAAAGAACATTCGGTAAACAGTGGGGACTGAAACCGAAATTGATCCATTGGATTTACTCGGCAATTAACCATTTTATTCGAGCACTTAAAATGACGTTTACTACCACTCGAACTTTGAAATAAAACATTATTTTGAGATTTTTTCTTCTAGAACCTCGAGAAAAGTAGCCAACATTTGTGCGTTTCATAAAAAAATATAAATTATTTGGTCCAGTTTTGTGAAATCGCTGGTAGAAAGTCACGCCAAAACTGCTTGACAAAGTGGTCAATTGTGAAACCCAGGATTACTTATGGTGGATTGGTCTGGTGGCCAAAAACAAAAGAGAGTGTTGTTCAGAGAAAGTTAGAAAAACTCCAAAGGTTAGCAACTCTCTCAATAACAGGTGCAATGAGAAGAACACCATCGAAGGCATTGGATGCTTTGCTTTATATGCTACCATTGCATCAATTTGTACAATTAGAAGCCGAAAAGTGTGCTCTAAGGATTACAAGGTCAGTGAAACTCTTTGAAGGAGATCTTAGAGGACATCTTACGATTCTAAAAACTGTTAGTATCAACCCTCTAGTAAGGAACAACGAAGACTGGATGGAGAAAAGATATAATTTCAATCGACTTTTTCGAGTACACTGAGGAAATTAGAATTACGATTTTCATAATATGTTTCGTATGAACAAGCATTTTGAGCTCTGGAAATAGTTTCATACGACACGTATGTTATTCATAGCATGCGTATGATAATTACATGACTCAAAAATGATTCCCATACGAAATGAGTCTAAATTTCATACGAGACTGCAATGAACTTTATGAGTTGATCTTGTGTGACAAAAATCATACGTCGTTCGTATGAAACGCTGTTCAAAACAAAACAATATGGCGTCCGAATCGAAATTACTAGCGTACGTTAAAGTTCCGGCGGAAACTTGGGCTGTATTGAGAGGTAAAAACGCTGAATTCTAAATAATTTTCCGGATCCTACCTACATATTTAAAATTATAGAGTGTATGGCTTTAATAACAACCATTATCGCATACTGGTAGATCCAGAAGAGCGATTTGATTTGGACTAGAACAAAACGTAAGAAGGTAATGTAAAGATTATTTCAAATATTTACTATCAATGTGTCCACAGAATCTGCCTAACATCAAAATACTGCGGTTACTGCAATTCTGTTGCGATAACGGACATAACTGAGTTAAAGTTGGAACCAGTGGCATCAATAGCCAGGCAGATTGTAGTCCCAGCACTTAAAATTTAAAGGGTAATTTTTGAGTGATGTTGTTTATAATACAAAAACTCAAATGCAACGCAAACTAAAAATTTTCTTTGTTTAAAAAATAAATATGAATTTATGATTACATGTATCTAATTATTTTCCAGGAAAAAACTACAAATAGCTACAATGAATTTCATAGTTGATTCGATTGCTTTTCGTATTCCTCTCGTTTCTAATTCATACGAATGAAACGTAAATTTCATACTCATAACGTATCATTTTCATACGACACATTTATGAAATCCATATGTGTCTACTGCAAAAAACATAAATGATAACAAAGGTGCGCGTTCATATTTCTATCGTATGAAATTCAAAATAAATTCTTTTGGTTAAATTCCATAAACATTTCGTATGAAATTCCAACGAATTATTTCCTCAGTGTAGTTGACCCTGGGCGTAATTCATGGCAATTTGGTGGCCCGGTTCTTCGTCCAGGATCGATTGTTTTTTATACAGATGGTTCAAGATTGAACAATCAAGTGGGAGCAGGAGTAACTGGCCCAGGGATAGAAATATCGGTTCCTATGGACAGATGGCCAACTGTGTTCCAAGCTGAAATCCAAGCAATTTTAGAGTGTTCCGTTATATGTTTGCGTAGAAACTATAAGAGTTCAAATATATGCGTCATGTCCGACAGTCAAGCTGCTCTAAATGCTTTAAAGTCGGCGACATGTACATCAAAACTTGTCTGGGAGTGTGTTCAATCACTTCAAAAATTGTCTTGTCATAATCAAGTCAACTTATATTGGGTTCCTGGTCATTGCGGGATTGAGGGAAATGAAAGAGCTGATGCACTAGCAAGACTCGGATCTTCTCATAAGTTCATCGGGCCAGAGCCCTTTTGTGGCTTATCGGCTGCATCTCTTAGAATGGAGCTAAAAGCGTGGGAATCTTCAAAAGTGGAGGAAAACTGGAAGAACACTTCCATTGCTAGGCAGTCGAAGCGATTTAATAATCCAAACATTTCTGTGACCCACAAAATCCTGGAACTTTCTAAGAAAGATCTTAGTATATATGCAGGTCTTATAACAGGTCATTGTCCGAGCCGTTATCACTTGAAGCTGATTGGAAAACTTCAAGATGATGTATGTCGCTTCTGTGGCATAGAAAAGGAAGACTCGGAACATTTGCTATGCCACTGTCCGGCAATTTTCAATAAAAGGCGTAAGTTCTTCGACAAGGGGCTGATAGAACCCTTTGACATTTGAAGAACAACTCCCAGTACGGCAGTGCACTTTATTCGAAGTATAATGCCGTGCTGGGATAATGCTATTAGTCAAACGATGGCGATCACTCCTAATAATAGTGATACGGCATCTTGATATAGCTAAAGAAAAAAAAATGGGGAATATATCACAATAGATCAGAAAAATGGTCGCAGTGATGAAAATACCCGACAAGGAAAAAAAAAAGAGACTTTTAAGAAAATTTCAAAGCGAAAAGATTTGAGGGTAGCTCGAAAACAGCTGATGTATGTTCCCGGAAGTTCCCGTGAATCGGGAAATATTGTTGTCCTGTGATAAGTGAGGTAATAAGTTATTTTTTTATAGTTGTTCATCAACATGTTTATTTTTGAACTTCTATAGAAGGATCCATTAAACATTGAATTGTGTTATCGACTTAATTTTAATGTTTTGATTTCTCCCGGAAGATATCAATACATTCCACCCGGAAGTTTCTTTCGACTTCCCTGAATTTGTTGACAACTTTAAATTTCCAAGAATTTAAACCAACTATTGCAGGAAGCTCTTCCCAAAAAATTCTTCTCGCTTCCCCTGAAAGTGTTTTCCAGCTACTCTGAAAGTTTCTTCCGACTTTTCCCGGAAGATTCTCCCAATTTTTACCGGAAGTATCTTCCAAACTAGAGGAAAACAAAAACGAACGAATGGGGAAATTTGAGTTCTGGCAGTATTGCATGAACCCGACGATGTGTACCCCTATTGGTATACACCATCATACATTCAGAGCTGAATTCACTTCAGTTGACCTTTCAGAGAAAGTGAAAACGCTCCTCCTCCTCCTAGGTGCCTTCGTTTGAGAATTTATAAGACAACATTAAAAAAGAAACGCGGATCCATCTTCGCGAAGATCAATGCAAACGACGCTGCTGAAGACGATTACGTTATGTAGCGATATACGATTACCTATTATATGAGCGCAGCCAGCGAATATATTTCCCTCACCCCTACTCGATCAATGACTCTAGACGCGAAACACGTTGATTGGAGCCTGTACAACACAGCTCGAATCAACTAGCCCTTAGCAAGTCGCTGATAAGCATCGGTCCTAATCCAATAAGTATGCAACTAATTCGTTCCGTTAGGCTAGTCCCTAAATTGAGAACGCGCTAATAATGCTCCTGCCTACTACTACAACACCTACGGAAGAATGCAAACAAGCTGAGCCTGTTTCGTCGCGGTGAATTAATTAGCCCCAAGCAAAACGGGCGACGCTCGTGGCGATGGACAAGAAGACCATATCAAACATCTTACGAGGTCAATCAATTAACGCATGTCTCGTCCGGCAGTAGATAAGATTCTCACGAAGATGGTATTTTATGATACACACTTCCGACACTGGGCTTTTATCTACTGCGCGATCCACACCGTGAAGCACTGCAACAACTACCGTATGTCGTATGTCGTCATGATCAGGTTCCGCGCGACATGAAAAATGTCAACCTCTGATTCGCCAGAACCGATGTTGTGTTGTACGCTCGAGATTGGCTGAAAGGCCCAGTTAGCGGCTAGCTTCCATACTAATACCGCTACACGCACTGGGGTGGTCTGAATTCTACGTTTCATGCCACAGCGAAAACCCCCCAAAACTCTAAAAATATGCGCTTGATATTCATAGAACTTGCCACGCATGTTTTCGAACGGGGATGATCAAGGCGATCCTGAACTAATTCCTAGCAAATAACCGCACTGGAAGAAAAAAATCCCACCGGGAACGATGCGGAGTCACCCTACCGAATGCGACAAAACATTAAAGAATCTTCCCCCCAGCCAGGTGTGGTTGGGAGCGCGACGCAATGAAATCTGGGACGATTAATTTTTCCTTATTCCGATAATACTTTCACAACACTACTCACCATCAAATAACTGAATATCGTTAGCTTTGCACTACTCAGCGGATTCATCTTGACCGGATAGTCACTCCGATGGAGGAAACTTAACCAGGGCACTAATTACGAACTAAAAAAGAACACGCACACGCCACCAAATCGAGGGGATGGAGCGAAAGGGTCTGCTTTTCCTTGGTGCCGAACCACAGCCGGACAATACTGTTTGTTTTGTCGGACGTCTGCCTTGCTTGTCCACCGGTCCAGGCTAGTTTTGGGAAGGATTTTTCGCGATCACAGACTTGCACTTGGCTGCTGCACTTCACTTCAATAACCACCAGACAGTTTCCGAGCTGCCGACGAAAGCGACGACGACGACGACGACACGACACACGCATACATCAAAACGCAAAAGCCAGCAAAAGCTGATGGGACAGCAAAAGAAACTGCGTTTGACGTTTCGTTGGAATCTTTGGAAAAAAAAGGTGGAAAATGCGCAGGGAGGGTAAATCGTAACAGGTAGTAACGCCTCTGCAGATCATGATGCTCTGGCTAGCGTTGCCAGAACTACGGGTATAGGAGTATTTTTACCGATTTTTTAGTTCCATACACGGATAGAAATCTCCTTATACCTTTTGGCAAATTTCTATTGCTGATTATTCATAAAATGTATAAGTCAACTAATAAGCAGACACTTTGCAAAAAGTTAATGAAGCTTATATGTCAAATGAAGTGTACAAGCAGTCACACATACCTTTATGCATTCTTATAGGACCTATATGGTTTTTCTTATGGAATGTATAAGGTTGATGTTTTGGCAAAATATATAAGTGAAACAAATGAATAAAATAATTGATTTTCGTTTCGTGTACACACTTAATCACGACTTTTTTTTTACAGATTTCGAACTGTAAATCACAAAATATACCGAACATTCAGCTACTTTCAATAAAATTACTGATGTTCAGTAGCTTTTGTGACAAACTACTGAATACCGTATTAGCAACTACTGAATTTTCCGTACAATAACCGTCTCCTAGAGGAGGGATGTCCGACGTGTAGATGCTGTAAACCAGTGGTCCCAGCAGACTCCCTTGCGGAACACCTACTGGGATCGGAAATTGTCCCGAAAAGGGAACTATCCAACGACACCCTGAACGACCTTTGCTGGAGATAGTTACGGGTGATTTTCACAAGGTATGGTGGAAAGTTGGAGTTACAAAGCTTGTATATAAGTCCTTCGTGCCAGACATTGGCAAACGCCTTTTCGACGTCTAACAAGGCCATGGCTGTGGACTTGGATACAGCTTTGTTACTTCGGATGTTATTCATCACCCGCACTAGCTGATGATTGGTGGAATGCCCCTTACGGAACCCGAACTGTTCCGGAAGAAGAATGTCATGTTCCTCCACAAACTTGTTCAGTCGGCTGAGTATCAATTTTTCGAACAGCTTGCTCAGCGCTGAGAGCAGGCTAATCGGTCTGTAGCTTGACGGTAGTGAAGGGTCTTTCCCAGGTTTGCGGATCGGGATGATTTTTGCCACCTTCCAGATGCTTGGAAAGTAGTGCAGCTCCAAGCATCTGTTGAGGATGGCAGCCAGCAGCGAGTGGACCCTCGGGCTGAGATTTTTCAACGCTAGGTTGAATATTCCGTCAAACCCGGGAGCTTTAATGTTTTTACTATATTTCAGCGCTGAGCAAATTTGTTCCTCTGTAATCCGTTCTTCTGGAGGGACGGCACAAGGGGAGGTATCTAACGTCTGGACGCACTGCGCAACCTGGTTCTCGAGTGGACTTGGGATTGTAGAGCCAAGCAAATGCGACTGGGCAATGTGCTCCCCAATCGCATTGGCCTTCTCTTCGTTGGTGACAAGTCGGTCGTCATTGACTCTAAGTGGTGGAATGGGCTTGGGGTGAGACTTCAGCACCTTGGCAACCTTCCAGAATGGTCTGGAACGGTCGTCCAGGTTCTGAACGAGCCGCCCGAAACTCTCGTTCCGGATTGAGACCATTCTGGAAGCGATCTGCCGATTCAGTTCGAACATTTAATATTTACGCTGCAGATCCCCAGTCCGCTGAAACTGGCGTCTACGAACATTTCTGAGCCAAATCAAGAGTTTGGTGTGGGAATCAATTGCTTGAAACTTACCCCTCACAGGAACTCGTCGAACGCACTCTTCGTCAGCCACGGATATGGCTTGATGGAGACCCTCCAGGGCCCGGTCGATGTCCTCCACTGTGTCGAGCGGTGGGTTGTCGTCGATGTGGCGGTCGACCACGCGCCGAAACTGGACCCAGTTGACTCGATGGTAGTTCTTCCGCTGGCACGGTGCCGGGGCCACGTTGCAGCCCAGCTCGGTCAGCACCGGTTGGTGGTCCGAACTCAGGTCGTTGACGGCAACCGGCTTGGTTAATCCGGTGTTTGCCAAGAACAGGTCCAGCGTCAATGGGTTGCCCGTCGGTGATGTGAAGGTTGGTTCGTCCGGAAACCAGACGGAATAGAGGCCATGCTGGGAATGGTCGAATAGCAGGAGGCCGTTCTGGTTCTGCTGGTAGTTCCGCCAGTCCTCGTGCCGGGCGTTCAGGTCCCCTCCGATTACGAAGCGGGCATTGGTGCGGGTTATGATGGCAAGGTCGTTCTTGAACTGCTGTGCTGTACCATTGCTAACGGTACATTGCCGGGGGCAGTAGGCGGCGATGAACCGGACGTTTCCGGTCGATGTTTCCACCTCAACGCCGACGGCCTCGATGATGGAAGTGCGGTAGTGGGGTAGGGTGCAGTACTTGATGCCTTTCTTGATGATGACCGCGACACCGCCCCCCCCCTGGAGCTGGTGCGATCAAGCCGGACAATGCTGTGGTTGGGCAGCCAGAAGCTGTCACCGGTCTTGAGGTGGGTCTCGGTGAGAAGGCCTACGTCGATGTCGTGCTTGCGGAGGAAGTCTGCAAGCTCAATGTTTTTCGCCCCTACGGAGCGAGCGTTCCAGTTGGCGATCTTTATGGCTTCATGGTCCATAATTAGCGACGAAGGAGATGATAGCTTGGAGCTGTTGTGTTCTTGTTGCGCAGGTGCGCTTGATGATGATGGCCTGGGCCAACAGTGTGACGATCTCATCCGTTGACAGCGGAGAATCGTCTGTAGCTTCGCCGGTTGTACCGGCCAATCCCGGAACAGGGGGATCCGTCGATGGCCCGGAGGCTTGACCGGATACTGCAGCGGCAGCCAACTGGGCAACAGCCAACTGGGCAACAGCCAACTGGGCAACAGCCAACTGGGCAACAGCCAACTGTTGGTTGAGCGAGAGCGGCGGCAACACTGGAATTGGCCGTGATTGGACCGGTGATAACGGAGGAAAGTTCTGCGCGTTGTTTTCTGGAACCTTCTTGCGACCGGGATGGCTGTTGGACGAGGCCTTCTTCCGGATCTCAGCGTATTCGGGCCGCTTCGGATAGGCCTTACTCGTGGCCTTGTGGGCGGCACCGCAGTTGGCGCATGTGGGAGCGGCTTCCTCGATGCTGTCGCAGTTGTCGATCTTGTGGTTTTTGCCGCATTTGATGCAGCGGCTGGCCATGCGGCAATTCCTGGTGCCGTGCCCGAACAATAGGCAGTTCGAGCACTGAGTGACGCCACGGTGGGTCGGCTTATACCGCTCCCACTTCACTACGATGTGGAACAGTGTGCGTGTCGTCTGGAGATCCTTCACGGTTGTGGAGTTCTTCTCCAGATGGACCAGGTAGAGCTGGTCACGATACTTGATGGCCTTGCTGCGGGTCATCTTGTGGACTTCGACCGGCTTGAGGCCGTTCGCCTTAATCTCGTCCATTAAGGTAGTGGCGTCCATGTCGTGGAGCCCACGCAGCACCACTTTCAGCGGCTTGGTGGCCTCGATGTCGTGGGAGAAGTACTCCAGCTTCATCCTGTCCAAGAGGGCCTGGACTGTGTTGAAGTGTTTTTCGGCCGGGACCATCAGTTTGTAGCCTTGTGTGCACCGTTGAATCATAGAGGTAACTCTAAGACCACTGGGTCCCGAAGAAAATCATTATTATTTTTGGCTCACTCAGTACCAGAACAACGGTCCCAAGCAGTCCCAAGCAGTCCCAAGCTATTTCACTCACCCCTGCATGTTCTGCATGAATCCACACACCCCTGATGTTATCTGTCAAACTTTCATAGCGAATCAAAACAAACATAGTGTAGTAATAGAATTTCAACTAGAATAGGGTACGTTAATCGTTTACTTGGGACCAATAGGCTACTAAAGTGGTGAGCCAATTTAAAATCGTTAGTTTCGTATTGATTGTTGGTTGAATGGTGCAGCGAAGGCCCTACTTAATGTAGAAATCCAGCTGCTCCCATAGCCCGGGAGGGAAGCCCTTCACATAAAAGGGTGGCAACTTAACTTTTTTGGGCACCGTCTCAGGGTCCGACTGCGGCTGGGCTCCGTTCTGCAGGGCGGAGAACGGATTGTTGCTCAGCAGCTTTTTTGCTGCCGATGCGGTGGCGCTGCTGTCTTCAGGTCTGGGTCGTTTAGTTCCGGGAGGCCCCGGCTGCGGGTCCGCAACGCCTGTCGGGACGGGCAATGGGGTTTTCTTCTGCTTCTTCTGGGCTGGCTCGGTGGTCGCGCCGTCTCCTGGGAGAGTCTGTTTTCCCGGTAAACCGGCACTCGCGTTACCGCGCGATTTCTTACCCATGGCTGGGTCAGCGAGAGCGTCACTACACAACGCGGAGCTAATTCGACTTGCGAACGAACGAACGAAACTAGAGAGAATTCAAATCGACTGAACTGCTCAACAGTCTGGCAGCGAATGATGTCGTCAACGAGCTTAGATAGCTCATATTTATACCAAAAATCAATACGAAACTAACGATTTTAAATTGGCTTACTGCTTGACTAGCCTATTGGTCCCAAGCAAATCGATTAACGTATCCCATTCTAGTCGAAATTCTAGTACTACACAATGTTTGTTTTGATTCGATATGAAAGTTTGACAGATAAAATGAGGGGTTATTGGTTTTTCCTATGTTTCGAGGGGTGCATCGATTAGCTTGCGACCGAAGATAGTACCAGAGCTGAGCCAAAAAGTTGAGCACGTATCTTCGGGACCTTCTAATTTCGGCACAATTTGCTGAGTGACTTACCCCTTGGAATGAGTATATATTCAGAAAACATCATCAGCAATAAGAAGACAACATAGAATTTGTGATAGCTATATCGGAAATACATTTCATAAGGGATGGTTTGAGCGAGAAAGTTGTTTTTTACTATGTTTGGATCTAGGTTTGGATAACATGTACAACATACTTCATAAAAACTATATCCAGTATTTTACGGTCGCTTATGGCCGCCACAATTTAGCTGAGTTTT